TGCCATCCCCCAGGACAAATAATGCACTTAATATTTCCATCCAGTCACCTTGATTTATATTACGTTCTGGCACACATGAGAAGAGACGGTATAGGCAGAGCTACATGGCCCTGTAAATGGGTAGTCAGGTCGACTTACAATAAACAATACACTATGTCGGTATAGCCATGCACACGCCTCCAAAATGCAAGAAAGCCAATGGTTGCGACAATGTAAAGCACTGTAAGTACATAAAATTTCGTCTTTTGTTCCTGGACCTGGTCAACAACTGTATAAGTTAAGGTCTATTTGCTACCAGAGATATCTACAATCAGGTGAACTTAAGATTTTCAAGTATGACTTAACGAAAAGAAGGCGAAATGCAAATAATTGCCATAATGAATACGTTTTATGTCAATGCAGACTTTATAACTAAAATAAGGGTTTTCCATTATGTAATAACTACATGCTAACTACGTGATTTTTATGTTAAATCTTATTCAAATATTTAATATTCAGAATTTTACCATTTTCTTAATGAACGAAAATACACAATCCAGCCTAAGGCTGCCATGACAATATGTTGTTTAAAACCGTTTTATCGATTGATTGATTGATTGATTGATTAATAGAAAGATTGATTGATTGATTGATTGATTGATTAACTTAACTGTACACTGCATCATCTTCAGTCACAGATGTTGCGAGATTGGGCATTGGAGGATTTCTGTGCCCCCCCTCCCAAATCATGAATGGTTTTGTCCAGGTTGCTGATACTAATTGCCACCAAAAGGTCAGTCCCATAATTCGTTCAGAAGTACGTCATAGTAACATGGTTAGGATTAACTCTGCTGACTGAATTTGCTAATTGTCTTCCTGGCCATCAATTCATTACAGACCCTGAAAACAAACACTGTGACGCGCTGACTTAGCAAATAATGATGGTGGCAAACATTTTCAGTTATCTCTGGGGACGTCAGGACCAGATATACACAGGGATATCGATTGGGCTATGGTGATTTGATTATGTGGATGACATCCGCGCGCGCATGAATTTTCGTCCGTTTTTCAAATATACCGTAAATCGTACGAAGTAGCTGTAAAATGACCAAATTGCCGTAAATTGCAAAACGAATATAGGAAAAAGATCGTTTGAGTGCCAAATTCAATTCCAAACGAGAAAATGAAAAAGTGGAGAAATGAAAATGAAGACTCTAATTTTCTCCATACCGTACCAGCACCATACAATTCACCTGCAAGACACCATGGTAAGCCTACAGTCAGTACGGAAAGGGGGGGGGGGCATCCTTGGCATTGAAGACTAGTACTCAATCTGGGGAGCTGG